CTTCCATTCATTACTACAGTCACTTCTACCAGAACTTCAATTTCGACCTGACCGAGGGTCATGAAGTCAACGCCTCAGTAGAATGGCTTTCACGCACAGAAGTTCATAATTCTAGAGGCTTGGAGCTTCGTTGACGAGAGTCGAAATGTGTGAAGTTGGTACTTGGTGGCACCATCTACTAGCTCCTTCCCTTTTTTCTCTTTGTAGAGAGGTGACACCTTCGGACTGTGAGTTGTGCTGTCGTTGTCGTTTCGGTAGAATTTTCCGACGTACTGTAATGCGTGCTCTCTGCCTCCAGCGTACAGAACGGGTAGCGGTTCCACTGCTGGCTGGCATATTCGTCTTCTTCTTGTCGATCCTTGGCAACCATCATCCTGTTACTACGTCTACAGCTGACAGACGGTGAGAAGCAGGTTCTGATCAACTTCTCTCAGTTTGCTTCAGGTCACCAAAGGCCTGCTCAACCCTTGGTAGCCTCCTTAATGAACGTGCTGGTATAACATTTGATAACGGCGGTGCAACAAGGAGTAGGTGGCTAAGTTCTAAGGGAGACATCGTCACCGGTTTACTGAATAAATCAGAATTAACTAATTTTTTGACTCATGAACGTTAGTGAGTACGAAACATATCCAAGGCCAATTTTCACGGCGCATCAGACAGAAAACTGGTTCCTATGTGTATTGGGGGAGGGTGATTTAAGCAGGCCGCATTTCCATGTTATTTGAAACTCATTTACAAAGTTTCGTCTCAGGCCTCATTTCATGACTTAGGAAAAGGAGAAGAGGAAAGTTCGTAACCTTTGAAATGTCCGTCTTTGTTACACTTTCGTGACTGGGCCATTCTTGTACCCATCTTTTCATTAACTTAATGGTTTGGTGCTGATCGCAATCTCTGAGCCTTCCTTCAAGAGGGCCTCATTTTAAAGGCAGAGTCGACAGCAAGATACTACGTGGCAAGCATTGCATCTCGTATCCTGTTTTTGTTGCCACAGAGTGGGACTCATTTATCAGCCTCGGAAGGAACGAAGCCGAATGACCGTGCTGAGACTCGAAGTCGAGGCATTTCGATTCTGAGTGCAACGCTCTAAGCAACCTCAGTCTGTGACCTAAAGTAGTATCCGCATCTCAACAATGCTGCTATAATGGTCAACTGTACGGAGGTCAAAAATATTGGTATGGTACGTTTGCATGTACCGGTAATATGCTATGAAACGAACGACTGCACTAGAAAGCGCGTTCAGCAGATTTGGTGCCAGAGATTGTGAATCTAATTTCGAAAATGAGTATTAGGGTACTGTATTAGAGTACTGTCTATTAGCATAGTACGAAAAACAGATCACATTGCTGTAAAAAATATTATGGTCCTTACAAGCATTGGCTATTCCACGCTTTAGTCGACTTTCATGGTGGTGCAGATTTCATTCCTTACCTCTACCGCTACTTTTCAATATGCAACAGTGATGGTCTAGACGGGGGGGAAACAAAAAACAATTTTGTTATAGCTAATCTGGAATTAATGTTGAAGTATTTGTTGACGGATTTGTTCCCAGATGCATTGCGGTCACATGATCATATCACAACCATACGGTAGTTAAGGAATTATCACATTGATACATCTGCAATATTTTACTGACTGAAGCGGCACTCTCCTCTGCATCAGCACTTTTGTCTAAAGAGCAAGTCTGTATATAAGCTGCCATAAAATGGCGCATAACCTATTACACACCATATCGCATGGCATATTGCAGCGCCCTTTTGCTCAAGGGAACGTAGTTTAGCAGGTCATGATATGTGAGCTCATGCAACTGGCATTATTTTGTTCGCCAGAGCAGCCTAGCGATCATAAAGAACGATATTCGACCTGGTACTCCTTATATGCTATCGTTGAATGATCAGAATATGTTGGTTTTTGCGTGAGTGCTTCAGATAACGAATGACTCCTCCAAATCCAGATTTTACGGTATATTGCACCGGCACCTAGCTCCTGATTGTTTTCGAAAGTCATGTGAGCAGACCACGGCTCCATAATATTTAAACACATGCAGTGCCAGATGCATGTTGTATCATTTTGATCACAGGAACGACGTTTAAAGAGCCGGCACGTCTTATATGCTATCGCATATTGCATAAACACCAGACGTTGTTCATACGGCATGGCCTGCTTGAGTGGCGCGTGAATCATTGGCCATTATGGAAGTAATATAATTGATGGACTTCGATCGCCTTTGGGTCTAACTATCTTTGTTTCGTTTCTCCAAACTGTCGAAGCCTCACCTCATTGATGTGAAAGCCGCCTTGCTATGTTTTTATTTATGTGCTACAATTTTCAAATGGACAAGGTTAGGCTTTTTGAATGTGAGTTTCTGTGTTTCGACGTTCCTTCGTGATCTTCAGTGCCTCTACGCGGAAGTTGTAGCGGTGTATGGTTTTAAAACAGGGTGTAGCGCATCCATCATCCGAATTGAGCCCATTGTGGGCGTCCAACGAACGCAAGTCAACGCATATTCAATCTGATCTTGTGTTTGACATTTTCTGATGAGTAGGTATGCAGCAGCTCATTCAGGGTATAAAACATGATCAATTATTTTGACGTCTCTCTAACATTAGTTCAACATTGCGGATTCGGAAAAACGAAACAATCTTGGACACTTTTCTCGAAGAGACATTATTGGCGAGTGCCACATAACAACGTTGAGTGGGGGGGGGCTTCTACATCACTTCGGGGTCATCACTTCAGCACCGGGTATTTATTAAATGGTAATGAACCAGTACAGGCGAATCAAACGAATCTGGTATTGGATTTTTGCAGTGACACAGAAACTGTTTCCTTCTGCTTGGTAAGTCGGCTGGATATATCACAGAAGGTTCTCTTAGGCTGGATGAGACGATGAGGTCAGAAGCTGGTCAGTGACCAAGTGTGTCCCTTCTTGATGGCCTAGTTGAAGGCTGTGAAGGAACGATGGCTGGCACTATGAATGATTTACTTACGAAACTCGCCAGAAATACTTTACGCACGGAAGAGTACCGGAGCTAAGTGAAGGCTACCTCATCGGTTTTCGCAAACCTAAGATTGCCTACGACCCGGTGATAGTCAAGACGCAACGGCCAACGGCAAAAGAACATCATGAAGACCTTCGTGGTTAGCTATGACACCAAAAGTCTGACGTCGGATCGAAGCAGATGTTCACGACCTTGGGACTAATGGAACCATAGAGCATCGGTGATCAAACGTTCCTCGGGAAAAAGGAGGAAAGCCGCATTCAGGCAGGCAGTGTAGCGTAAAAGTTACCATAAGGAAGAGGTTCGCACTCAGCTGCCAACTCATGCCACCTACCGTCGCCGCACTGATTCTGTCATTGGACAAGAGAAGGTCACTAAACCTAATTGAAGTTTACAGCCGAACATAGCACGAGGTCGATGACGAAGTGGAACGGTTCTACGAGAAACTGAAAGGCTTACTGGAAAACACATCCACGTACAGAATCGTGTAAGACCATTCAAAAGGTAGTAGGAAAGGAGGGGACGGATACAGAGCATTTCATCGGCTGGTTTGGAAGTGGACAGGGAAACGAATTCGGCCCTGTCTTGTAACGTTTGCTGAAAGTATTCGCCTCTAATCCTGAATGCAATGTTTGTATATGTTGAGAAACGACAGTGGACGATGAGGAGGTATAATGGATAGACTCGGAGCAAAAATCGACTACATTCTAACAGACACAGAGCGAGTACTAAGGACGTGTCTGTCATTGGGTCGTCTGTGTTGGGTCAGACCATAGATCACTTCGATCCACAGTCGCACTCGACGTTGTCAAAGAAGATCGGGGTAGAAACCTCAAAAAACACCGATATTGGGCGAATATTCAACGTTGAGTTTTTTGCATAGAAGCTTCCTCAGCTGAATCTCGCGATAAATTCCAACTTACAATCAGAACCTCACCAATGCCATCAAAACTGCCATCCTATTATCAAGTCAGACAGCAATGTCGAGGAGTAAACAATGCGCCAGCCGTGTCATGAGACAACTGCTGGTCAGTAAAGTTGGAACGAAGGCTGATGGACAACTGGACGACGATTATACTGCGTTGTGCAAAGAAATGCAGAATAAGATTCAGGAAGACTTTGGAGGGTATAGGAGATCATAGCTAAGGGAGACCGCATTAAGGACGAATAGACTGAAGGCCATCGGAAAGGGTATACGTCTAAAAATTCAGACTCCTCTGGTACTAAAGGCTGAGAAAGAAACAAGAACCACAAATAGCTGTAACATGAAAGCGATCTGAGCGACTTTTTACAATAAATTCTACTCCTCTAAGGTAGAGGTCAACCGTTGCTCCAGAAACCATTCTCGATGTCGCTTTGGAAGAAGT